GGGTGAGGAGGGTGACCCAGGGTGAGGAGGTGACCCAGGGTGAGGAGGGACCAGGGTGAGGAGGTGACCCAGGAGAGGAAGGGTGACCCAGGATTAGGAGGGTGACCCGGTGAGGAGGGTGACCCAGGGTGAGGAGGGTGACCCTGGGTGAGAAAGGACCCAGGATGAGAGTAACAGACGAGGAAGGTGACCCAGGATTAGGGGGGGTGACCCAGGGTGAGGAGGGTGACCCAGGGTGAGAAAGAGACCCAGGATGAGGAGGGTGACCCAGGGTGAGGAGGGTGACCCAGGGTGAGAAGGGGACCCAGGATGAGGAGGGTGACCCAGGGTGAGGAGGGTGACCCTGGGTGAGAAAGGAGACCCAGGATGAGAGGGGGCACCAGATTAGGAGGGTGACCCAGGGTGAGGAGGGGTGACCCAGGGTGAGGAGGGTGACCCTGGGTGAGAAGGGACCCAGGATGAGGAGGGTGACCCAGGACGAGGAAGGTGACCCAGGGAAGGGGTGACCCAGGGTGAGGAGGGTGACCCAGGGTGAGGAGGGTGACCGGTGAGGAGGGTGACCCAGGGTGAGGAGGGTGACCCAGGACGAGGAAGGTGACCCAGGATTAGGAGGGTGACCCAGGGTGAGGAGGGTGACCCAGGGGAGGGTGACCCTGGGTGGTGAGACCCAGGATGAGGGGGTGACCCAGGACGAGGAAGGACCCATTAGAGGGTGACCCAGGGAGGAGGGTGACCCAGGGTGAGGAGGGTGACCCAGGGTGAGGGAGGGTGACCCAGGGTGAGGAGGGTGACCCAGGACGAGGAAGGTGACCCAGGATTAGGAGGGTGACCCAGGGGGAAAGGAGACCCAGGATGGGAGGGTGACCCGGTGAGGAGGGTGACCCTGGGTGAGAAAGGAGACCAGGATGAGGGGTGACCCAGGGTGAGGAGGGGGGTGACCCAGGGTGAGGAGGGTGACCCTGGTGAGAAAGGAGACCCAGGGTGAGGAGGGACCCAGGGAGGAGGTGACCCAGGGTGAGAAAGGAGACCAGGATGAGGAGGGTGACCCAGGGTGAGGAGGGTGACCCTGGGTGAGAAAGGTGACCCAGGATGGGGTGACCCAGGAGGGTGACCCAGGGTGAGGAGGGTGACCCTGGGTGAGAAAGGACCCAGGATGAGGAGGGTGACCCAGGTGAGGGTGAACCAGGGTGAGGAGGGTGACCCAGGGTGAGGATGTGAACGAAGGTGGAGAAACCCAGGGGGGGAGAGGACCCGGGGTGAGGAGAGTGACCCAGGGTGAGGAGGGTGACCCAGGGTGAGGAGGGTGACCCAGGGTGAGGAGGGTGACCCAGGGTGAGGAGGGTGACGCAGACATGATTTAAAACACGACGTCTACTATTGAGGGAGAAATACAATACATATGATTAAAGCTGAATAGTGGAGAGTGAGGTGTGGTAGAGTGTGGTGGAGAGCGGTGAGATGAGGTTTGGTGTGGTAGTGTGGTAAAGAGAGGCGAAGTGTGGTGTGGTAAGTTAGGTGTGGTGTGGTAGAGGGAGGCGGGGACAGGTGAAGTATGGTGTGGTGTTGTGTAGTGGAGACAAATGGGGTGTAGTGTAGTGTGGTAGTGTCGCAGAGGCGGGTGTGGTGTAGCGGAGACAGGTGCGGTGTGGTGGAGACAGGTGTGGTGTGGTAGAGTGTGGTGGAGGCAGGCCAGGTGTGGTGTGGTGTGGTAGAGTGTAGTGGAGGCAGGTCAGGTGTGGTGTGGTAGAATGTAGTGGAGAAGGGCAAGGTGTGGTGTGGTGGAGAGAGGTGAAGTATGGTGTGGTAGAATGTGGCGGAGACAGGTGAGGTGTGGTGCGGTAGAGTGTGGTGGGCGACGCTACTCACCACACAGCAGGAAGACGGGCACCTCCACACACCAATAATCAATTAAGAGGGACTCACACACAATAGAAATTAATATCCTTCAAAATTCCAGGCGAGAACAATGAGGAAATGTCAGTGGAGCGTGAGAGTAAACACCGGGTGCTCCTTCAGGTATAGTGAGGCTCCCGGGGCGCCCTCACGTGGGTCGGGGCAAGCTGAAGTGAGCCTTGGGTGGGCAGGGTAAGCTGAAGTGGATCTTAGGTGGAGCGGTCTAAGGTGAAGTGGGATTCAGGTGGGCCGGGGCAAGATCAAGTGGGCTTGGCAACGACTAAGAACACTGATGTTTTCTTGAGAAGGGGCGGGGCATTCTGGGTTGGGACTAACGAGGGGCGCGGTGGACTTCAGGTGGATCGGGGCACTCTAAAGAAGCCCAAAGGTGCGTCAAGGCCTGGAGCACTATAAGGCGATCCTGGGGTGAGTGGGTTTACTCCCAGGCAAACCTGAAGTCATTTCCGTTTACTCTGAGATGATTTATGAAGTTAGTCAATTTACCCTGAAATGATCCTAAATTCGGTAAATTTACCCTAGGCTGGTTCTGAAGAGGCCGTGAAGTGGACCATGGCACCCTAGTGCGGGGTTGAGGTGGCTCTGGACACACCTGAGGTAGTAATGGACTAACACAACACACCACACCACATCACCAGCGAGGGAGGCCTACAACCACGTGTTTCCTCTACCACACCAAATTAGTAGTGACTTGTACATAACCTTTACTTTCACTCCATGTCTCCTTTTAGTATTGAAAGCCTTCGTTAAGCAATCCAATCAAGGGCACTATAACTAAATACCTTGTACTGTAAGTAATTGTTTGTCCATTGTATATTTTCAGCTTCTGGCTGCTGTGCTTTTCAATGAACAGCTAATTATTATTATGATTACACACACACACACACACACACACACACACACACACACACACACACACACACACACACACACACACACACACGAAGCCACATAACATATAACAAGAGGACTTTCATATATAGAAGCAAAACCAGACGTCTGTGAATGCTGAAGCAACGTCTGAATGCGGCAAATAAGCTAGAAATCGTTTGATTACACACAAAAAGCCAGAAGACGTGTGAATGCAGAAGCCACGAAAGAAAACGTCAACACGTATCAACTAAGAAAAACCTGCAGGTCGGAGATGCCAGGAGACCCCACACCTGCAGGCGAGGATCAAAACTTGAGGCACAAAAAAAAGTCGACATGCACGTGCAGGGTTCAGAAAATTCTTTCGCCTTCCGGGAACTAACATTATTTTTTTTATTATTCTTTAAAATTTCTCACACGAGGACTACCCGGGAACGTAAGCGCACGTAATCTTTAAGGATTTAACGTAAAATATCCGACGTTTATATATATATATATATATATATATATATATATATATATATATATATATATATATATATATATATATATATATATATATATATATATATATATATATATATATATATATACAAGTATATATATATATATATATTCTTCATTCGGAAAGTCGCAGACCTCCTACGTCTTGCTACTTCCTGCTGTTGACTTTTTTTCCATAATTTCTGACGTAGAAATTTTTTTATGTCAGACAGCAATGACGTGCCACTACAGCCATAACCTCTATCTCTCTATTAAAATTACCATTAAACCACAAAAATGTATATGTTATTATAATTAAGTAATATAACGCATATTGTATTATTTTTAGAGGAGCAGCTCTAGGCTGGTGTATCCCCACAACACATGTAACTTTTCATCTGAAATAAGCCCCGTGTCTTCGTGGGATCTTCTACAACCATGAAGACCCACCAGACAACTTCCAACTGGACAATATCCTTCCATCAAAATAACAATGAACGAAATTACACCAGTTTACGGTTCTTAAGACCTACTGCCCTGCATGGTAGGGTTAGGTTTGGTTACAGCTACGTTACTCTTGATTAAGTTTGGTTTAGGGGGGCACCATTAGTGTGGGTCACGTTATGATAAATTTCCATTTTGTTAGATTAGGTTAGGTTAGGTTGGGTTCGGTTTGCTTTGGTTTCGGTCCACACAATTAGGTTAGGTTAAGTAAGGTTCGAATTGGTGTAGGAAAGGTTAGATTAGGTTATGTTAGACAAGGCTAAGCTAGGCTAGGTTCGGTTTGGTTAGATCAGGTTAGATCCGGATTGGGTCAAGAGTTAAACTTGGTTCCGATTGATGTGACTTAGCACGAGTTCGGGTTAGGTCGTGTGGACCGAGGGAAAATCCCAGAGTTATTCAATTTGGGATGCACAAAAATATTTGATTAAAGTGATGGGCCCACAGGTAAATGTTTTCCATGAGTGTGTCGGATCGTAAGGGAACACTGTTGTACCCCATGAAGAACCCACCTGAGAAGACGTTAGCGTAGGACCCGAAACAGAACAAGATTGTGAAGGATACAAGGTTGAAAACGTGTACATAAAACACAAATTAAAAAATGTTGATTCCAAAACATGTAAAATCCAAGATACCAAGAACTTGTGCAAAACAGAAAACATTTATGTGTAGGAGTCTTAAAAAATTATATGCAAGGAAAATACTGAAGGGAATAACGAGTGAAGAAGATATGAGAGTAAAAAGAGGAAAAACATTTGAGAGTAACTAGAGGAAAAACGTTTGAGAGCAGCACAAGAAAAACGTTTGGAAGTGCAACAAGAAAAGGTGCGGTGCCGTATAGGCCAGGAGACGGTGATTCAAGTAATCTGTAACATCAGCATCACCAGTGAGCAGAAGTTGTTAATATTCCGACTTACTTATACTGGGCTTTAATTAAGTGTTGATAATAACAGGCAACAACAAGACGTGCATTATTAGTGCAGGAAACCTCATGGCTCTCCTCCCTCTAACCCTACAGATTCAGTGTCAAGAAATTAAGTCAAGGTGACTGGATTGGTCTGGATAATTAATCAACTAAATATCTATCCTCGGTGGACCTGAGATGTAAGTTTGAATTGATCTGACTCCAACCATTCTCAAGTTATTGATAGGACAAAACACGCTGAAGAAAGAGAAAGAAAACGAGTAAAAGAGGCCCCCCAAGGTGAGACTTCAACAAAACAAATTGACTTATTACCTTCAGCTTCCTATACATCCAAGTTCCGGAGAATCTGAAGAAGAAGAAATACAGAGGTCAGTAACACGTTACATAAACATACACGTCAATAATATATAAAGATAATATAGTGTTATGAACAAACACAGTGTAAGGGTAGAATAAGTTTCTAAAGTCAGTGAAATAGAATTATCTTTAATGATTCACTTGTTAATAATGGTAACGGTGCACATGTACCAGCAAAATCCCAACGAATAAAACCTTGCTACAGTACATAATTCCCAAAAGACTATTACACACATGACAAAATCCTAATGGAATAAAAATTACCAAGAAAATCCCCCAAATAAATTGGATAAAATCTTACCAGCACAGCATAGGTCTTAAGGTTGTTTGGTGAACTATGTTAATACCAGTGTGGGAGCCACTTAAACTGCATGGGTCCCACTTAAGTAGTGTTAGCCAGTCTGGGAGCCACTTAAGCAGTGAGTGCCACTTAATTAGTGTTAAGAACAACAACCAAGTGTGGGTACCACTAACCAATACGTAGGCGACTGAGCAGTGTGGGTACCACTTAACTAGTCTCGAGGCCACTTGAACAGTGAAAGGCCACTTGGGCAAAGTGGGACACACTTCAGCAGAGTGGAGACCTCTTTGGCAAAAGGGGAACCACTTACGTAGTGTGGGGGCCCGTGGTGGGGGCTATTTAAGCAGTGTGGGAGGGAGGTATGTGGAGCGGTGGGGCGGAGAGAGGTGAATTGGAGGCAGGAATGGGAGCGAGGTACAATCAATACCCCTCTCTCTCTCTCTCTCTCTCTCTCTCTCTCTCTCTCTCTCTCTCTCTCTCTCTCTCTCTCTCTCTCTCTCTCTCTCTCTCTCTCTCTCTCTCTCTCTCTCTCTCTCTCTCTCTCTCTCTCTCTCTCTCTCTCTCTCTCTCTCTCTCTCTCTCTCTCTCTCTCTCTCTCTCTCTCCTCACTTGCTGGCAGGAAAGGATAGGGGGAAAGAGGTGAACTGGGATTCATTCAGGATCCTCTATTGTATCTTTCTATATTATTATATACACACGCGCTTTCTTGCTGTTATTACATTCACATTTCTTCATTATTTCTGCTTTACTCTTGCCTTCATCTTGGGAGGGGAGGGAGGGGGGGGGACTTCTCTCCGTCCTTGACACCATCTTCCTCCTGTTTACATATATCATTAATACACAATGTTTGTTTTTGTACGTGTGAATTCATTTTTATTTGGTCTTACACCTTCCTGTTAACTTTTTATCACTTTTAACTTCGACTAATACTACAGTTTATCGTATTATTACTTTATATTATCATTACAATATACTATTATTACTACCTATTACAATGATCTACAACACATAATACCTATATTTTACCTATCGCAATATACTGTTAACTATTCCTTTACACCATCACTTATTACACCATCCGACAACTACCGTCTATCACTACATATAATTATTTCTTTATAATTGACGTTCTAATTTCCTCTCTCATCTCCACTATCATGACAATTTATTTCCTTCTCTTCTCTTACATTATAATCACACCAACCGACAGACAGACAGACACCGACCGACCGACCGACCGACAGACAGACAGACGGGACAAAAAATGTAACCCTTCACCATACTGTTACTTGCCCTGCCTCCCCGGGCAGGATGAAACTATGGGCAAGTTTCTTTACGCCATTTGCTTCTGTCTACCCAGCAGTAATTGGGAACCTGGATGTTAATTGATTTGCGGATCGTGTTCCGGGGTAATGGTTAGCCAGTGCAGTTGGCGAGTTGTCCGGTCTTCTCGAACTATTCCTTGACACTGAGTCATGCAGCACGTTAACTCAGGGTGTGGTTGTTGTGTTGGCGACAGCTTCTACACCTTAAACAAATTCACGCCTAGGTGGCCCTTGGGCCGGCCATCCTCGTTACACGAGGGGCAACCATTACTTGCCCTGTAGCGACTGATTGACTGACCAAGTGACTGACTTGACTCTCTCTTACCACACTCATTCCCTCTACCACATTCACTCTCTCTACCACACTCACTCTCTCTACCACACTCTCACTACCACACATTCACTCTACCACACTCTCACTACCACAAATTCATTCTACCACAAATTCACTCTCTACCACACATTTACTCTCTACCACACATTCACTCTCTCTACCACACTCGCTCTCTACCACACATTCACTCTCTCTACCACACTCACTCTCTACCACACTCACTCTCTCTACCACACTCACTCTCTCTACCACACTCACACTCTATCACACTCACTCTCTACCACACATTCACTCTCTCTACCACACTCACTCTCTACCACACTCACTCTCTCTACCACACTCACTCTCTCTCTCACACACTCACTCTCTACCACTCTCTACCTCCCTCTCTACCACTCACTCTACCACATTCTCTCTCTACCACACTCTCTCTACCACCTCCTCTCTACACTCCTCTCTACACTCCCTCTCTACTCCCTCTCTCTCTACCACACATTCACTCTCTACACATTCACTCTATCTACCACATCTCTCTCTACCACATTCACTCTACTCACTCTACCACTCCTCTCTCTACACACTCACTCTCTCTACCACACTCACTCTCTCTACTCTCTACCACACACCCTCTCCTCTACCACACTCACTCTCTCTACCACACTCCCTCTCTCTACCACACTCACTCCTCTCTACCACCTCACTCTCTACCACACTCACTCTACCACACTCCACCTCTCTCCACTCCTCACCTCTACCACTCCTCTCTACCACATCCTCTCTACCACTCACTCTCTACTCCTCTCCTCTCACTCCTACCACACACCTCTCCTCTTCTCTCTACCACACATTCCTCTATCTACCACACATTCACTCTCTCTACCACACTCACTCTCTACCACACTCACTCTCTCTACCACACTCACTCTCTCTACCACACTCACTCTCTCTACCACACTCGCTCTCTCTACCACACTCACTCTCTACCACACATTCACTCTCTCTACCACACTCACTCTCTCTACCAAGGTTTTGTTCTTTACCACTTGTTCATACAACCCCGCCTTCCTCTTTCTCTTCACCATCCTTTCACTTTCTTCACCATCTTTTTTTTTAACTCGTACACTCACCAACCCACACGTTACCTTGGACACAATGGTGATCTTTATTAAAGGAATACTTTCAACAACATCTAATCCTAACTAGTCTGACGGTAACAGAATAAAGCTAAAGATGCATGGAGAGAGAGAGAGAGAGAGAGAGAGAGAGAGAGAGAGAGAGAGAGAGAGATTCTGCCAAAATACTGTAGTTACCCATACACCCATTCTCTAAACTTCTGCAACGTTTCGACCCAGTTTCTGTCTCCCCAACATATTCAATACAATTGGAACTCCACGGTCCATTTTCCATGAAAGGACCGAAATTTATCATCACATCAGATAAAGAAAAAAAATAGGTGAAGTTATACGGTTTCAAACACTACTAGAACTCAGTAAAAACCATTATGCCACTCCATCTGGGACGGACGGACGGACGGACGGACGCACGCACGCACGCACACACACGTTAATCTTAAACATATAAGATGCACCACAATGTTCAATCCACCACAGCGACAAAAACAGCTTCATTACTCTATAAGTGAGTATCTTATAATATTCTTTCATTATTTGCCTCCAACTTTATATTCATCATGATGAAATCCAGCTCTGTGTCCTGCCATTAAGAGACGGAGCTGCCACCTTGTAAAGTTTCTTACATCTTATTAAACTGTGTAAACAAAGGCTCCCAAAGACCAACCACACGATAAAGACCAGTTATTTCTTATAAAATAAATAAGTGGAGCTCGTGGGTTACTGACATGCTTAGCACTGCGTCAAGTCTCGACCAGAACAGAGAGTCTTGTGTCAACACTGGTAAACAAGACCCCCCCCCCCTCCACCACACACCCGCCAGTTTTAATAATATGTCAACACGGGCTTAAGCATCCTCCTTTCAGGTCTTTCCCCATTACCCGCCACCCAAGGCTTTGCCCGTGTTCTGGTGCCACCGTATCCGAGCGACGACGTGTCCCAGTTAACCTAATCCTAACTAATACAACTCAATCTAATTTAACCTAAATCTAACCAAAAAATAATACAAAATAATACTAATCACACCCAATCCAGTTACTCTAACCTCATCTAACACACGTAAGACTATCTAATCTAACCGCTGACTAAACTCATCCAATTTCAAGAGTTTTACAATCCCGAATCTATTCTAATATATTCTAATACACATATATATTCTAGCCTCCCCTATACTTATATTATATCTAACCCAAAACAACTTTAATAAAAACTGACCCCGAGTCAAATTCCTACCTAACCTAACCTCATAAAAACAGACATTTCACCAACTGATACTGATAACGTGCTATTAGTCCTTGTTTTTTGTCAATTTTGTTTTTTGAGGGGGAAAATGTCTGGTGGAACTTTTTTTTCATAGGATTCAGTCGAATAGAGAATTGTCCAATGGCCCACATACCAGTTTCCCCACCCACCTATGTTGAGGTTGGGTCACAGCGAGGTACAAGCCTACTCCTCTATTGCCTCTCTCTCCCCTCACACACTAATTACATGGTATGAGCTTTACATACCAGAGGTGAGCCGCCGGCCACACTCTCTCTACCTACACTACGTTAATGAACCTGCCCACACTTACTGCCTCACTCCACACAATACACTGCCTTATCACACGCTTACTAGTTCACTCTACCACTCACTTACTAGTTCACTCTACCACTCACTTACTAGTTCACTCTACCACACACTTACTAGTTCACTGTACAATATAATTAGTGACTGTACAATGTACTTGGTTACTCAGTCTAACATAATATTCTTGTATCGGGCTTTGTTATTCATTTTTCCTGACACAACTGATGTATGGTGTCTGTGTGTGAAGAATATTTCTTCAAGAGCTACTTAACGCAAGTAAAGCTTAACTCTAGCTGGCTTTTGTTCAATAACGCAATCCATTCCAAGGAA